ACAAACAAATCTGTGGAACGTATCCCAGGGGTCCGCTGTATGCACTATAGGCCTATATAGTCATAGTTACCCGAAAACAGTCACCCGAAATGTAGACAAAACACACGGGCAGCTATGATATTCAGCCTAGTACATTTCAGGTGACGTCACGTGTGTACACAAAAGCCGAGCAACTGCATTTGAAAACGAAACACAAGTAGTGCTAAGACTTTGAGGAATAAATGCATAAATACCCGGTACATGGTGTAAAGTTGTGGAAGTGTTCAAAAAAGATAGGTGAGATGTCCATGCATGGAGATAAATAAGTGTTAAAAAGCCCGATCATTTTGCGTTTTGTCAGCGATTTTTCGTGGGACCTTTCGGGACCAGGTGGTGTTACGAAATCTGTGCGAAAATGTTCTATAGCCCTGCGGCAACTGTACGCGGGCTAGCCTATAGTACTAGAGAGTAGAGCTAACACTGCTACAGTGAATGATAGAGATTGACACAGTTCACTTCTGCCGTTCTGGTCAGTGGCAGATTTACGCAAATCTAAATTTTCGCTCTTAAATATTATACTGCACCTTCTTCTAAACTTGCAGGCGCGACAACAGGAACCGCTTGATAACTCCCAGAACTTGGCATTTCTCGAAATGAAAAAATCCGCACGCTCACAAACTACATTTCATTCGACGAAAACAAAGTATGGCAGCTACCATAGACCACGTGACACTCGTCACGATGTACATGGTCATGCCCATTTTTACGAGGGAGGATCGCTGTGTGGGATAGATACACATGACACATGATAGATGTGGGATGACAGATGACATGCGTCTGAAAGACTCTGAACCGAATTGCCCCGACCTGTGATTGGAGGATAAAAATAGACCCCGCCCACTGATACATGCACTGCAGGCGATGATGCCGGCGGTTGATGTATGGGTGGACGAGAGGGTAGATAGATAGTTTGTATTATATGTAGAATAGAATTAGAGATTAAAATTATATATTGATTATGTCAGTGTAATTAATCGGAGGCGGGAGGAGGAGGAAGGCGAAGAGGGACAGAGGTTGAGAGAATGAGTAAGATGAGTGCATGCATGGTTTATTGCAGAAATAAGGGATGAGAAAATGATAAAGGAAGAACAGCGATTTTTTTTTAGATTTAGATTTTAGATTTTGAAATTTATTTACGCTTTTAAGTATATTACATTGTTACATATATCACAACAAGTTGTTTTTAATAAATACAGCGAGGGAGGGCGAATTTACTATACAGTCTTCAAGTCAGCCACTTTGCTAACTATACAGTTAGTTACTTAAAGTTGATTCAAGACTTGAACCATGAATGACAATACGATTGGATAATACAAAAATATATATAAGCGCTGTTATGAAAAATAAATAAATAATAAATAAACTACATGCAAATTACCCTGAGTCCACATGAGCCTGAAGACCGCAATAGAAAATATACATATGCAGGTCCCAAATATATATGTATGTAATAGACTATCAGAAAAAAAGCGCTCACAGACGCATAGCGGAACAATAATTGACAGGGAAAGAAAAAATTAAAGCACAACAATTAAAGATCACACAACACTCTGCACAGGCAACAAATTACACACAACGAAAAGCCAACACAAAGGCCGCATCACGAAACCAGAGACTCCACAACCTGGAAAAAATCCCACAAATACAATCCATCAACTACCATCACACGTTGAAGCCGCAAAAAAAAAGAATATAAATAAAAAATATATAGAACCAATTGGACAACAGCCATTGCACATCACTCAGTACACTTGTAAACATGCAAAACAAGCAATTCACAAACCAATTAATCAAAAAAAGAAAACTGAAAAAACAGGAAACAAAACAACTGCATTACAAGGCACATGCATGCCCATAGAACAAGAAATACAATTTTATTTGAACAAAATCAAAAATATATATATAAGGAATATAGATTCTATTTATATGAACCTGAATAAGCTGTGCATGGGAGAGCAAAAAATACTTCTAGTTCAAAACAAACTGAGAACATGATCACAGATCCCGCACTGCATGCTGAACAACAAAATTCTGTACACAACACGTACACCAACTGGACAACAGCCACCGCACATCACTCATTACACTTGTAAACATGCAAACAAAACCATAACAAGCAATTCACAAACCAATTAAATAAAACAAAAAACAAAACATAACTGCGTTACAAGGGGCAATGCCCATGCAGGAAGAACAAGAAACGCAATTTGCATTGTTATCATAACCAAAAATATAAGAAAAAAAGAAGAAGATTCTATTTATATGAACCTGATTAAGCTGTGCTTATTCTTATTTGGATATGAGAGTATCTCTGTAGGCTTTAACAAAGGTTTTGAAAGTCAATGTCTTTATGCTTGAAGGAAGTGTAGCCCATAATTTGACACCTCAAAAATTATGAGAGTGAATTATCACAGCGAAAAAGAGTGAACGGGGAGAATAAGATATGGCTGTGGGAAGGAGAAAGGAAGAGAACGAATGATCGACTAAGAGAACCTAGTATTAGGATCGTTGACTTCAGGGGTGACTAGGAGAAGGGAGGACAATATGAAGGGTGATAGAAGGTGAGTAACGACGACGACGAAACGGAGGAAGAAGAATAAGAATAAGAAGAAAAGACGAGGAATAAGAAGAGGAGGAGTAGGACGAGGAGGAGTTTGAAAACACAACAGAGTAATTCAAGTAGGAGAGAGAAGTGGAGGGAGGGAGAGCAATGCAGGGTTAAAAAAGAAAGAGACAGGCAAGCGGGTGGACGGACGGATGGAAGAAACGGCAGCCATATACGTCCACGTACGCGCATGCACGCACGCGAGCGTGCATACCGAATGCTGAATGTAGGTAGGCCTAATCTAAATCATTGGGGAGTTCACACCGTCAAGTACCGTACACATAAACCCCCAAACACACTGTTCTTCGATTCCCTGCTTTCTGCGCTCTGTTCTCGCTGTTCTAGATTATCGATTATCGATTCCCCCGATACTATAATCCTTCCTTCGGTGGCGTTTCCAGAATTCACATCAGCTAATACGATGAGACGCCAATTTGTTGCAATGTTGCTCGAACGAAGCATGAAACTCGAATTTGCCAATAAGAGGAAATCGGTGTAAGGTTGAGCATACGTACACGTTATTCTCTCGCGCTATAATCGGCGAGAGGTCAACGTGCGTGCGCCTGCTGCAGTCCACCTTGTGCAGTTTCACGGTCATGGCGTCAGTGAGAGGTAATCGGCAACCTTTCCAATAATACTTACGTGTCCGCCACACTGCTATACGATTACATGGTCTCTCGTTACAAAGCTCTACTGCTCTGTCCCGTTTTTCACACGGATACTAAAATCTAATCGCGAATTGCAGTTAAAGCTCTCTGCCCTCAGGATATTCGATATAGAATGGCAACACTCAGTAAAGCAGACAAAATGAAAATGATAGTACTAGTATACGTTCAAGTTCTCGATTAGTGTAACTTCTTCAACAAGGCAGGATTATAGAGTCGTCATGTAACATGTTCACCTGCGTACATTATCCTGCGTTCACTTCCATGAAATGCGGAATCAGGCCTACTTGTATGTCTGGTCAAGATAGATTATTCGCATTGATCGGAGTACAATCATGCGTCTTTGCCGTTCGTTATACGTCATTCGTGCTGGGGATATATATACTTTATCGTCAACTTTGGGCGGCTACAGATATTTGCCGGCATGTCAATCTGCATGCGTTTATGCACATGGCAACGTCGAATAGCTCGCTACCAGGGTATTCTCCTACAGCAAAAATTACAACACTAGTATGTATGATACTCTAGCGATTTATTTTTAGTACAACGCATGCTGATCGATCACCTATCTCCTCTGCTTCCGGCGTAAAAGCAATTAGAGATAGGTACGAGTATAACCCTACTCTATTGTCCGACAGTGTCACGTGACCCGCACCGGATTGCGTCATCAATCGCAATCATGGCTGTTTATCTTCTTCGTGTCAGCTCCTTCCTGTGCCAGCTCCTTTACTTCTTGTGTCAGCTTTCCACGGCTACCGCCCCCTTTCCGTATCAGCTTGGTCTTAGAGTCACCTCCTCCCGCCTCATCTTTCTCCTGGTGTCACTCTCTGTTCCGCTGTTACTTTCTCTCTTCATCTGTACTATCACATGCACTCGGATCACCTTTGAAGTTTCTCCTGCTATAACTAGCGTCCCCGTGCCACTCTTGTTTTCCTATAGAAGTACCCCGCGCGCATCACATTATAAATTATGTTCCTCTGGTGTCATGTCAAACGGACAAGCGTATATTGTAAACAGATCTATGACAGTTGCGTGACCGGTCCGACAACCGTTGACGTTACACTGTCAATCCTGGTTGTCATTGTTGTTTTTCTACAGCCCTTAGTTTACGTGATCATATGTCATGAGAATCTCTTTTACGATGTATGCTTACCTTTAAATGTATGTTCTTCGCGATCTGATTAGAAATTGTCCTAAATAAATCGTAGTACTCACGCTATAAGTCGTAGCGGAATAATCCACGCCTTACCTTTAAACCGACGCATGCAGTTCACAGCTGCGCAAATATCTAAGGTAAACCTTTATCTGTCTAAAACCGACTAATGTCTCACAAAACCTCGCTCAGCGTCACGATATTTACGATTACACGCGTATATAGCGCATGCAAGGAGATAAATAAATATACGATGCTGACACGCAAGTGCCACCACGGGAATTATGTGTGCCACGTAGGTCGCGATACAAATATACATGACAACTATATAATAACACACGAAAAAAATCAATAAAGTAATCACGTACCCCAAGCATCGTCGTTACTGTTATCTCTCGTAGTGCAGCGGCTGGCAGCGGTCGACGGCCGTGTAGCCCTGGCTCCGGCTGGAATGATCCCGCTATCCAGGTCGGCGTCGCTGACGGGAGTGACGGTGCCGCGGACGGGCGTTAGCGAGCGCACCCAGGAAGGAGGGTCTCCCATACTGTAATCCCCCTTCTCAACTTTCTCTTCCCTCGGTGAGATAGGACTGTTTTTACTGCGGGGGCTCGTGCTGGGACTATTCGCGCCACTAAAGATACCATGTCGGGGACCATGATGATGATGTTGTGAGTGGGGATGAGGATGATGATGATGACTGTCGCGTTGGGCGAAGTTTCGAACGGTTGTCACTATTGGCGTGCTAAACATGATTGCAAACTTTCTCACTAGGTGGAACGCGTAGTGTCTGGCGTGAAGCTATTGAATTCGGCGTGAAAATGCATGTGCTCTTACATGCACGTCACAACACAATAGTGATTGTCGGTAAAACAGTGTTTCTTGTGATATCCACTCAGTAGAAGAACAGACGAAATCATGCTTTCCGTATATCCACAAATGGTGCGATGCGGTGTTATTTATGCAGCCGCGGTAACAGAATCCTACCCGTTATTGTGCGAGTTCATCGCTGGCTACTATATCGATGGTGCAGCGGCGTCACAGTGTACAGACAGACCACACAGTGACGCAGCGATCTCTAACGTGGGTTGCATGACATTGTGCAAGTGCAATCCGTGTGGGATTATGGCTTCGCTGCTGCTACTAACAAACGCACGGCATATTGTAAGCCAGATTGTCGTGTTCAGTTGCCAAAGAAACACTTTGATGGAGCAAGTTTCATGCGCGAAGCACGAACGTGACGTTTTAATTGCTTAATTAGTTTCGGCAGCGCCGCGCGTACATACGTACAGGCGGGGAGCTGTCGGCTATAAGCAATGAGTGTGACATCGATGCAAGTCGATCTCTTACTATATCTTTACGCGTTTACCTCGCGCGTATACGTGCATCCTTCCTTACCTGATGGGTACAAGTATGCTACGCAGATGTTATGCGTTCATCCCAACCGCAGACGCCTGCCGTGACGCGACAATCTGCGCGTGTGTCGTCGACGCTTGCTCTGAGGCACACGGAGGTCGCCTGCAGACAGGGCGCGCGCGTACGTTCTGCGCATCCTGTTGTGAATTTCACGCGCCAATTAAAAGCTCTGGCGACAAATTAGCGATCACGTAAGATGACCGGCACGCGTCACGCCGCGCGTGCGACGTATTGGTCGTCTGTGTCGGCGCACTGTGCGCGGACGACCGTCTCTCTAGAGCTGTCGGCAGACGCACGTCTGCCTACTCCGCCCTCGCCGCACGTGTTGTGAAATCGCCCCCTAGGTGATGATGGCTTGCGGAGGTGTCGTACGGCAGGCCGCATGATTACCTTCCGTGTTGCTTCCTTTCAGACGACGAATTCCCGATAACTTCATCCGACGATTAAGCGCACTGTGCCGCCGATGGCCGTCTTTCTTCTGCCTTCTATACGCAAGCACGTATAAGCTCGCGGGTGAGGCATACACACGAGAAGCGTCGGCGTAAGGCGCGCCGCCCACGGCTGCTGTTTGCAGTAGGTTCGTGCATTAGGTATACGTACCCGCTAATGGTGTCATACGAGCCGGAGACAAACACATGTCCGCTCGGCTTCACACTCGAAATGAGAACAACGGCGCCACTCTGCGGAGGGAAGCCGAAGTGCCCATGCATGCAGCGGCTGGACACCGTGTCACTACGAATAACATCTTATAATCACATATATGCATTCGCGCCGCGGCTGCTGCAAGAGTACGGCAGGCGAGCTACCTGTTTGTGCTCGAGCGGCGGCTGTGTGCGACCGCAGCTCACAGCATTCGAGCCGTTATTAGACGACGCAGCTTTACGCATGCTCCGTGTACGACGAGTTTGCCCACAGCAACGGGCGCAACGCACGGACTTTGGGGAAGAATCGGAGCGTGACTGAGAGTGGCCTAATGTAGCAGTGGACAATAATCGTTCAAGCGCTGGGTTTGCAGACATTTTAATTTCTAGAGTTATTTCACGTTGCCAATGTGACCATTAATGCGTCCTGTCTGCGGAACGTTCCATCCGTTTATACGTAAGGTCGGTCGTGTTATCTCTGACGACATATTTATAAATATTAATGCAATATAATATATAATATATAATATATATATAATATATATATACTATATACTATATATTATAGCTATTTACAATTGCAATACGACGTACGCGCGCCTTATAAAATTTTGTTACTATAATCACAATGTCTTCGTTAAGACCTCACGCACGGGTCTTCTTTAACTATTCGTGGGTCTTCACATGCAGGTTCCCTTTCCCGGTGGCTTTGAGATTTATGCTTAACTGCTTGCGTTACTGGATGGTTCTAAGGTGTGCCCGACCAAAACCCATATCTTCTGCGTTTTTTTTTATTGACCCGCTCTCGGAGGTCTTCGTTTCGAGCAATAAAAGTACATTATATAACAGGTTTAACTATAAAGAAAATACTCGGCTTGAAAAGGGAAAACTGTAAAAGTGTCTATTATGGTTCAAAGTAAATAAAACTCGAAAATTGGCTTTCGCCGCGATTTCAAATAGTGACGTGGAAATAGGCCGAATAAACACATTTATTCCCCCAAAAAAACTTTATACGCGACAGTCTTATCAAGGTATTAGCAACTTTAAAACGCTATTTATGGCATGCGTCTCGATATCTGTAAATCAAAAGGGCCAACATTTAGGAAACAGGATGCCCTGTGGAATTGCAATATGTCCATTTAAACACATGTATACGGATTTATACGTGCAAAGTCAAAAATTATTATTTTCAAAGAATTATTTGGAAATATGATTTTTATCGATTATTAACTTGCCCCACATTGTTCGACTTGTGAGAACCGCAGAGTTCTTAATTCTATTACTCAGGATAAATGCTATATATTTGCAGTGTGCTAAAATAAACTCTCCGTCGTATTATATTTGTAGTTACGTTTTTGTCGATCACCACAAATTATTTTTACACACGGTGCGGTTAAGCAGCCACAGTCTGTGTTCGTTCTCAGAGAAGGTCCTACAGAGGGCGGTTAACGACCACAGCACACGCGGCGAATTTCTTTTAAAGCAACCGCGGCATGACGTTATAGGCTCTACGTTCTAGGCTCTACGTTCTCGGCTCTACGTTCTACGGCTCTACGTTCTAGGCTCTACTCATAGGGCTTACGCGCCCATGCGTCCGCCACACACACACACACGCGCGCGCACGCACACACACACACGCACACGCACACGCACACGCAACCACACACACACACACACACACACCAGATTTCCATTGCAATCTCACACGTTAAGCCGTCACGCTTCCCAGATTCTCCTCCGTGGGAAAGCTCCTGCAGCGTGTTACCTTCTAGCAGGTTAGAACGCCATGAGCAAGGATAATAGCCGTGAATTGGCGTTCCATACCTGTACTGCATGACAGTTGATAACGATGAGAGTTTGAAAACACCCAGCTTCGGAAATCCACGAAGGCCCGCCTCGGCAGGGAGCTGAGTGTTAAGAAGTTCCGTTGCCTTTCGCCCAGCGCTACCCACAGGTACTTGAAACGTTTAAAAAAGGTAAATAAACACGAAATGTATTTACTAATCTAACTCTATATTCTTGTTGTTTGTGCACAGCGGCGTGCGTGCGGTGTACTCATGTGTTGCAGAGGAGCATTTGAATGGCATTTACAGTAAATTACCGGTAATAATAGGCGAAAGAGAGTAGAGAAACATTAAGACTTTGGTAGTAAATACATCTCGTGTTTATTTAACTTTTTTTATTATTGAGACGTTCCAAGTGCCTGTGGCGCTGCCCGTGGGATGAGGGCATGCAGGCGAGGTGCTTTCATAAGCACGGGCGTTGTTATTAAAACAAACTTTGGTTTGTCAAATCAAAATCAAATCTTAAAAATCAAATCAGAGACGACTGGGTTGCATTACTATTGGCTTGCTTACACACAACCGTCCTCGTAGAGCCTATGTTTCTACCGGCCCGATGTCTCTCTGTGTGAGGTAGAGCGGACGCAGACCGGAGAATTAGCCTGCGTGTTCGTGGTCCTATACCACTATAGAAACCTAAACGATTCGATGAGGATTGTGAGCAAGCCTATAGCACTTATCTATAATAGTAAAATAGTACTTCTAACTTCGTTGTGCTCGAAGCAGCCACACGCCACGTCACAAGCCCATAGTCCCATCAAATCAAATCAACAGCAGTCTGCGATGCAACGCACCCATATATGTGATGGCCTATAGTCACTCCTATAGATCCATCCGCTAGTAAAAATAAAGTGCAACTCATTTCTACCTAGCTACTAGCCAAATGCCGTACAACATTCCTTTCTTCACCCTCGAAAAATTCATTTATCCTAAATATAGTACTGTTGTGGTGCATGTCTTTAATGAATCGGAAGAAATAAGCAGCAGAAGAACATTTGCGATACGCGACATCTATTTGTGCCAAGAATTGTCAAAATCTATATGGATAAAAATGTGGGTTTGTTTGTTTGTTGTGTTTTTTGTTTTGTTTGTTTTGTTGTTGTTGTTTGTTTGTTCATTGTGAACAACTAAGCAACTAAACGGACAAACTTCATCGTAAAACACAGATATGGCGCCGTAGTTTTGCTTATTAAATGTTGATGCTGTATAGTTTTGCTAAGCCATGGTAAATATCAACGATGTATAGCCGCCGTGATTCGTGGCATATGGCACATGTGACGCAGTCTACAGCCCTTTTAACGGATTCCGAGCTTCGACTGTTCATACGTGTTATCGGTTATAGTTAGCCAGCGTGCATTCTACACACGGATAAATGCACAAACCTCTCCATCCCGATTTGTGCCCGTGTGTGATATGTGATGAACCCCTTTGTAGCTATATGGTGACAGGACTGGAACGCCGAGTTAGGCTATACGTACGCAAGATGCTTAGAGTAGAATCCTTAAGGAAAAGATTGACCAGTTTTGATACAAGTTGATGGCTGGAGTAATTAAGAATTCATTCCAGTATCACGGGCGTTCATTGGAAGCTTACGAATAGTCTAAAAAGCCTTTAAATTAATTACACGAGTATAGACAATGTGAACAATAAATTATGGCAGATATAAACGGCAATACAATACAACCTTACGGCAAAACTTAGAAAAACTACTTTCGTCTGGTCATATGCTGCTAATTTCAAGAAAGTGAATATCGTGCTATGCCTTAGTCATATCACATATAACTTATACCATTGCCTTATATCATAGCATCATACGTAACTAATTTCGTATATATAAATAAGCGTATCATTATCTTAGATCATTTTATATCATAACACTATATATAACTCATTTCGTATAAAAATAAATATGAGTATTATTCTGTTAGATCAATTTATATCATAACACTATATATAACTCATGTTGTATATAAATAAATATGCGTTTAGGTCTATCATCGCGAATCCTCGTTTTTCGTAAATTGTCTCGTGGTTTGAATAACATCGACATCCACCTCGTACGTCGGACATAAAAATTCCCATAATATAAATCGTCACTTGATCGCTTATCGCGTAATGTGTAGACATTAGTGTCACGCAATGTCTGGCTACCGGGATATAACTAACTAACGCAATAGATAACGTGAGCTCGGCAAATACGGACGATATTGAAGCTAAACAAATTATGTAATGTTGCGAAATTCGTGGCTATGTATTGAATAATAATAGATAATCTATTAATAATATTTAATAATGCATAATAATACATGCAATCAGTAGTGAATAATAATATATAATCTATTAATAATAATAATTAATAATTAATAATAATAATTAATAATTAATAATAATAATTAATAATTAATAATAATAATTTATTATTAATCATTCCTGATGCAATTATATGATGAAACTTATCGTTTTATTTCGTTTGCGGCCGGGTGATCCTGCCGCTTCATTGTGCACGTGGGTTTTAATTATGTCAAAGACTGTATGCAATTTTTACGGTCTCATATCAAGTGCAGCTTTTTACGGGGATGTATAAGGTCTCTGATTATGCTAGCTGCCCTCGACGCGGTTATGGAGATAAAAGGATTTGAAATTCTGAATGCCATTTTTCTGCGCGCATTCGTGGTACCCATCGGTAAATTTGCGTAATCATTATGAAAAGCATATCAGCATACTGCGGCGCCTTTGTGTAACTTTCGCGAGAAACTTAATCACGTAACTTTAATCCCATCATGTTGAAAGAGCTACTTTGCTCTTTACCGAGTGTATACGTTCACTTTGATTGGACTCCAGCTGGGGCTGAGCGAGTTCGTTGGAGCACGAGTAGTCAGAACCAACGGAATATAATATGCGATAGCAATCATTCTATGCACAGCGTTCCGAGAAAACATCGCTAATGAAAAGGATTTAAATCCGATGAGTATATAGGTGATCGCGGTTCGAGAGGATCTAGGCATCCTCACCCACCGATTAAATTATTCGATCGGCTGATGGTTCTATGGCGATTTCTCAGCCGAAGGTTGCTCAGTAGACACGTGAATGCGTGTGTGCGTTCGTGCATGTGAAGCGTTGCATGTGCTCCAAGTTTTTCCCACCTCGTCTGATATTTCATCGTCATTGATGTGAACCTGCAGAATTCGTACTCTTCATAAAAGATAATGATGATGATTGATAATAAATTGCTGTGAGATTTCGCGCGCAGAGCTTCATATACAGTAATACCCCACATTACATAAGTAATGCGCTCCGGAAAAAACGCATCGTTAATGTTTGTAAGGTGAATCACGTTTTGCTATTGGCGCCATTATAGAAACGCCGATGCGTTCCAGAGAAAATCCTTCAACTAAAATAGTCACTAGAATGACAAATATGAATGCAAGAAATTTTTTACGCGTATATTGATTATTTACTGATGTAACATATTATCATGATAATACTGGGAGGGGAATAAGAGTTCAAAATTAGATTTACGGGGAGGGAGAGGGAGGCGCACTATTACTAGCTGACAGGGGTGGCACCAAAGGTTGTAATCTGACAAAGCGGTATGTTATTCGTATCAAAGATGATCCGCCAGACGCGGCATACATTCAATTTGCGGCGACTGAACAGGCCACGTTGTGAGTAAAAAACCCCAGCCATCCATTTCAAAGAAATTACACGAGAGTGAATATTCGTTACGTATCGCGAGTAAAGTGGTTATAATTCACAAATTACGTATAAGGGAATTTGCGTAATCAGGGTTGTCGTAACGCGCGGTATTATTACATGTGCAACCTCAAAGCAAAGGTCAATCCCTTAGCTTTAAAGGGAAGTGCTGAACACCCATTTGTACTAACAAATACAAGGAATGTGTAGAAACCAGTCAATTAACTCAGGCTAATTTACCTACAAATTACGGCAAGCACAGCGCGCGGGGAGCAGCCGTGTTTGTAAAACAAGCGGTACAGCTTAAAGGCGCGTCCGCGGCGTTAGGGTTCACTGCGTACCATCAAGAGCTAATAATACCTAAGGGATTATTAGCTCTTGGTACCATGCGTAGGTCTCAGGCACAGCTGATCTTCGCAATGACAATTGAATACACAATCGCGTAATCGGTTACCTCTACAATTGAATGATCAACCGATTATCGATTAAAACCGATAAGAAGGAACCATCATAAAAAGTGAAGAATAAGTTTATTTATTCCAGCTGTTCGTAGGTTTTTGTATGCCATACGCTAGTGCATATCCGTGCTAGTCCAAATAATGTATCCAGGAAAAAAAGTCCAAAAAAATGTACCATAATAATCAATTTAGGTACGAAACTGGATGGATTTCTCGATAGAAAATGATAATAAACGAAGTTTTACGCATCTAAAATCAAAATTTTCCCCAATAAAAAATCGAGGCATAGCCCATAGATTTTAGATAATAAAATCGTTTCTGTAAGACTGGTGAGCAAATGTCGAGCAAGGTACGAAACTGGATGGATTCCTCGATAGAAAATGATAATAAAAGAAGTTTTTACGCATCTGAAATCTAAATTTTCCCTAATAAAAAATCGAGGCATAGCCCTTAGATTTTAGATAATAAAATCGTTTTTGTAAGACTGGTGAGCAAATGTCGACACGCGTCGTCTGATACAATGGTATGAACGCGGGGACAGCTCCTTAGAGCTTTAGGTTCTCGTTACGATGTCAGCTTCACTTTCATATTGTATTTTGTTTAGTCTATAGCGGCTACGTCTTTGTGTAGAACTTGGATAAGTCTGGAGAACGTCGACGGTGCGGAGTGATCAGTGGCGGCGCTAGTGTCGATACGCATTCGTCCGCAACTGAAGAAATCTCCACCAAGCCGCCCGAGCGTATCGCGTAACAGGTTATGTGCCATCCACAACTTTCACGGAGTTACCAGTCAGCTAGCTGTAGGACACGGAGGTGTGCTAGTGCGCTGGAGCGTGCGTTAGCTTAGGCGGATGTGCTGTGATAGCTTGCTGCTGGCCGTGGATACTTTATCAGAACCAAAACAGGATTTCAACTCTCTCAGTGCCGTGCCGCGACGACGTCTCTAGCGTTTGTCTAGACCCTGTCACCCCGTGTTGGCGTGTCCGCGTGTGAAGGCACAGTATAGTGACTAGAGTCGCGGATATCTACACTCAAACAACAACGAACTCATAACTAATCCGAGCTTGTTGTACGAGAGTCACAGCATGCCAGCGTGGCGGTTATGCTGAGTCGTGCTAGTGTAAAGTACTAAACCGGTGGTCGCTACTGCTATGCTCCTACCTACATAACCTATTCTAGCTCCTCCTAACTATACCTAAATCTGTCTAATTTGCGTGACGACCACTCGTACGATCCAGTACATCCTTTACCGTACTGCACGCAGGGAGAGAGCGCGCGCCTCTTGTGAACATGTACGTGCGAGTTACACGGTAAAACCTTACGAGCATGGATAAGTTCGGACGAGAGACGATCCGCTCAAACTACTCGGTGGCGAGCTACACGGCGAAGACGCAGAACTGGTGGAAGGAATTCATGGACGTCGACACGCGGAACCGCAGCTCTGGCGGCCGCTCTCCCGCGCAGCGCATGCTGTTCGACGATGACGATAGCTGCGACGTCAGCGAGAGTCACTCGGACGACAGGGACCGGTCACCGGTGGCGAGCAGCAGCAGCTCGTCGTCCTTCTCGCGCTCGCAGCCGCCGGAGAAGCTGCTGGAGATGGATGGCTGGCTGGGCGACACGAACCACGGCTTCATGCGCGTCTACGATCCAAACTCGCACGCGATGAAGTCGCGCTGTCTGCCCTGCTCGCTCGGCACCACGTGCCATCAGATCTGCCTAAAGCTAGGCATTCAGAGCAACGCGCTGCATCTGCAGTACAACGGCGACGTAATACGTCGGCTGGAGCCGTACGACCACCCGCTGGCGCTGCAGAACGAGTACCTGTCGAAGATAGGCTACTCAGACATCTGCAGAATACAGGAGGTCGGACAGAGCAAGGAGCTCGGCTACCTCATACGGTTTTACGCCGGTACGTCGCGAGCAAAATCCGTGCATGATAATATACGTGATGATTAAATTTTAAAGTTGCATTCAAACACACAGCACTGCTTCCGACCAAGTCAATAATCTCGTCAACTATTGGCGGATGGGCGACCTCCAGGGGATATGAAGAGTGAATGATATTGTTCAATTATTCGTAGAACTCCAGGCATAAGTCGTGTAAGTTCATTTTTGCTCATGTATCTCTCCATTTCATATCACCACGACAGGAAAACCTATTCAGGACGGCACATTCTCAAGACGCATGCTGTCGGCCCAGCTATACGTCAGAAAGGGCAAGGTGTTCCATCAATGGGTCAAACGGCTGGTTGTCGTCTCTGGAACCAGAGTCCTTATATATCCAGGTACATGTTGCCTAATCATGTCCGTGTATAATATCCCTTGTTAAATGTCGTAGGGAAATTCCATATTGAAGTGCGGAGGATTAATCTGAAATTAGATAAAATCGGTACAGCTAAATCAGACAACATTTTCATTTTTTTGTCTACTAATTGTATTGTCTACGACTAATTTGTTTGACTAAGAGTGTAATTGAATTAACAAATGAAGGCTTTGTTAACACGTTTTAAATGTAGCAGTATATTGTAGGACTATCGCGCCTAGATTGCGCTTTTTGAGACGTTTACTGAAATGTGCAGGAAATGACCGGTGCTTACACATCGTTACTATAGGTAAAAGTCGACACCTAGAACTGTATCTAGAGCACATTGATGTATTGAGCACCAATCTAGTCTCTAGAAAACGCAGATCTTAAAGGTGTCATTGCCTTACCTAAATGATGTTTGCATTACAGTCGTAGGCAGTAAATGCACGTGTCCATGACGACTAGCGGACAAGCCAATTTCTAGTTGTCCGGACTAATTGTGCAAACTGGTTTTTTGATACAAGTATACGAGTTTGGATAATTTCTGAATGTGATTTCGTACCCTGTTATTTGCCTGGAGCTACACAGGATGTTGAGTCAGGTGTGCGGATAGTTGAGAGCGAAAGGAAAATACCCATGCCACAAATAGATGACTGTTTCCAACGTAAACAAATATCAAGGATTGAGTTAATCTATAGTATTAAGTATCTTAATTAATAAATAAGTAAATTAATAAAAATTAAAATAATATCCAAGCGCATAGAGAGGTTTGTACATATACATCTTTACGATCTTTTCGTATCGTTTTTAGACCTTTCAGATATCTTTAGAAGGTATATTATCCTGGCTGAATGTATCCTCTAATCTATATATGTGGCAATATGCTGCTCTAAACGTGTTCATGCGTATATTGAATGAACTGGCAAAACCCTTAATGAAACTGAATTGTACATTTGTTAACTGCACGCGTACAGTTGCACTGAGTGCACTGCATGCATACACTCACGTTAGTGCCCGCGTGTGTGCTGCTCAATATGTAGCGGCCCGTTTATAGATGTATGCCACAGGTCAATGCCACTGGGATGTGTGTGTATACGTCTACACAGCATGGGCTTGTGTCCCCGAGCTCGCGTGCAGTTCTTGCTGAATGATACACTCTACCTAGCTATTGTTGGCTCTGTTTTACGAAGTATGTAAGAAAACAGCCATAGGGTATAGCAGCTATGGCACACATGATATCAAAATTCATGCTGTTGTCGTGTAAAATTAGATATATATATATATCTGCATTGCCGGGGGATACGAATCAACGTAATAAAATAGATTTTAAATGCGAGGATGAGAAATGAACTCTATTAACTATGATTTAATGCAGTTTGCCGACAGTTCTGATGTACGAGTAGAACTAAAAACCCATCAATTAAAATAACCATGGCCTATTCTGTTGTTTAACATTACAGGAAAAGAACTCACACTTTCAATTTCGCGTTTGATTTTTGTCGACATTGACGTGTTATTAAGCACTAATTTGACATTTATTGTCCGTTCATCTATCAAAACACTGTCAAAACAATTTTATTAAAACAAGTTAAAGATTTAAGGGCGACACGAACAAATATTCAAAATTACTTAGTGGTAGTGCTGCATATCATTATGCTAATGAATTTTTATTTCTCACCAGGAGCAGAGAAAAAGGGCACGCCACAGGCACTATTGCTGGCGAAGGGTAGGGTGGAAGAAGTGAAATTCAAGAACCATAGCCGTTGTCTGAGGCTTACATCTGCTCTGCAGGCGGGTCGCACCATCTACCTGTCGTTTCCCAACGACTCGGACCTGTCTAAATGGCTTCGCAAAATTACAAAGGTGCGTTGGACATCTTGGATGCAGTGTGTGGTTGAGCAGTGGATAGTTTCTAGGTTACGTTTATTACGCGTAGCGGCGGCAAATTAGATCAACTTCGATACAGTGACTATCGGCTCTCATGGTGACCATTCCCACACGCGTGGACGTGCACATATACACACACACGCACACACGCGCGCACCTACACATACACGGGTGCGTACACAGGTATTAAAATGTTGTCATATGATGGTGCAATATTTGCAGGAAATATGATGCTCTCATGAAGAGTTGTAGTGTTTTGTTCAGCACGCGAGCAGCAGCTGCTCTGATGGAAAGTCGATTATGTCATTTCGTTGGCCATCTTTCCGTTGATAGTAGCTTTTGTTGCACAAGCTCAGTAAATTCCCCGCTGTGAGCCACCTCATGACGCAGCACGATGAGTGTCCGCCGTCATCAGAAACCATATACGCTATCTGCTCTCATTGGAGAAATTTGTATATTAGCCTTCGTCTTAGTCTTCGATATTAGCCTTCGTTCTGAACGTAAAATATGAGCAAATGTCAACATTTGTTGCCGTCAGTATCAGGAAATGGCATTGTTGATGCTACTACTCGTTGTATCTTTGCTACATGGTGTGCTTGATGGTGTAAGTCGTGTGTGTGTGTATGTGTGTGTGTGTGTATGTGTGTGTGTGTGTATGTGTGTGTGTG